GATCAGTAAACAGAATCGTCACTCTTTGTCTGTCGGCACAGTAATCATCTCCTTGTAACTTTTAATCACTATCACGTGAATTTGTAGAGGATAACACCAAATCACTGTATTTAAAGGAAAGTCTGTCGGCCTACTATCTTGTACATATCAATCAGTTTCCAACCAACGTGTCAACCAGTATTTACTTTTCTTTTATACACATTATTATCACAATATTATAACATTAATCTCAATCATATATGCACATTCATTTTCAATGCATTACAACAAATAAAATGTAATTGAGCATAATTCAGAAAATGTCAAAATGTCATAACGGTAGACAATAAAATTATTTTGAGCTAAAATTCACTTTTTTAGAATTTAACCAGGTTACTAAATACTGCATAAAATAACATTATGAAGTTTTAGTTGAACTAAACCACTATTTTTAGACATCAAAATAAATATTTTAGTAGGCAAAAATCATAATTGAGCATAATTCAGAAAATATCAAAATGTCATAATGGTAGATAACAAAAATCATTTTGTACAAAAATTCATATTTTTAGAATTTAACCAGATTACCAAATACTGCATAAAATAACATTCTGAAGTTTTAGTTGAACTAAATCGCTATTTTTTAGACATCAAAATAAATATTTAAGTTCACAAAAATCGCTGTATTTTTAAAATCATCCTTTTTAAAAATCTTAAACAAATACTCAAAATGTTTATAATCTTAATCTCTATAACATACAAAAAATTGCATGGTGAAAATTTTATCAATACAAATTTATTCATGTTTTTTGTTAGCAAAAACACAAATTTGATTAGACAAATACCAAAAATACAAAATCTTTGTTATCAAGAATAAAGTAAAAGTTCCTTACAACAAGACGAGTATTTACGAATATTATTTAATCTATTCTTTAGTATAAAATTCAAATAAATTATTTTAAAGCTTCAAAAAATATAGAAAAACATCCTTAAAATAAATCATTTTATTTAAAAAATATCGGTAAAATCAGTTTGCAAATAGGACACCTAACGATTTTAAAATTCTCACTTATACCGATAGATACCTATTCTTTAAGGATTTTTTTCGGTGCCCAAGAATTACAAAAAAAACCGTGTAAGTAAAATACTATAATAACAACACTATGGTAAAGGCGGTTTGAGATTTGGAGTTATTTTGACTCCAGAAAAAAATTATTTATCTCGGTCAAAATACGGGTTATTACAAGGCGTGCACCAGTAAGCCCATAGTTATGGTTTTTGGAATCATGATTTGTCCTTCGCTTATAACCATACATGTCTAGGAGACATTTCAATTATATTAAGGGATCTAGGAGGCTTGAGTATATAGACTTGCTCAAAGTGCTCATTCATGATGACTCGCCCAAAGCACTCAGTCATGACGGCTCGCCCAAAGAACTTGTAATGGATTATCCCAAGCCATATCACAAAGGTAGAGGGCCATGTGTATATCTTTAAACCTAGTCCACATATTTGGGTAAAAATGTACTTATTATATCATATATTATATTTCTATTTCTTCTAATTGTTTTCTTTCTTGTAATCATTTTAATCCTATGAGTAAGAGTTGAAGAGGTATATTTGGGACTTCATGCCATTTTTATTCTTCACAAAGATCACTTGCATCTCATCTCTTTAAACCTAGTCCACATATTTGAAAGGTCTGATGTTGCTGACCATGTTGCGTACATCGAGTTGGCACATTATACTGAGACAAACAATGAATATAAGATATTTTTATAATCAAAACTGCATAAGAAATATTCAATTCATTTTAGGCTAAAAAAGAATATTCATTTATCTTTTTTGATTATAAAATTAAACCAATGTTTAAAGCTAAGTATGCCTCTATAGATTATTCCCTCATCTCATAAAGAAATTAAAGTAGGGTTTATTTTATTACTCGGTTCTATATTCTTTATAAGGGCAAGTCCATATAGTTAATTATATCTCCTACGAGAATGTTCTCGATTAAAATAAAGACTAAAATTTTCAAATTCATATATATTTAAAGAAATGTTTGGGCTATTAAGATTTCAATGCATAGACTTTAGATTGTAAATTCTATAGTTGTATTTAAGATTTAGATTTAGATTTTAGATTTTGAATTTTAAAAGTATAAAATAGGAAATTAATATGCAGCGATTGAGGGGTGTATACAATTTGGGCTTATACTTGCCTAGAGCGAGTTGCTCTTAAGCACAATTAATTGTTACATGAATGTAAGATTAGATAGTCTATATCCTTGAAATAAAAAAAAATTATAGTTTAGAAAACTTTATAATTAGGACTTTACAATATGTATATGATTTTACAATGAAATGATGCATGAATCACAGTGTAAATAAAAGAATCTTTATTCATTATAATTTCATAGTACAACACAAGGTCTGCTATAAAGAAAAGGTGGACAAGCTCCACCAACAACAAGATTGAATTTTTACTCTTATATAAGTATGGATTTGAATATGATTGTTTATTCTGGTCTTCAATCTTCTGGATGCTGGATCTTCTATTTCAAAAAATAATGATTTTCAAAAGAAAATAATCATTTTATTTTGGAACCTATATACATATATAAATAATTTTTTTTAATCTTTTACAACTCTTGACATTGTACAACTCAATCTAGTTATACAAAAATCTAAAATATTTACATCATTACTTTTATATTTGCCTTTATATCATTTCTTTTAAAAAGGATTTTAATTGTTGTAATTGTTAATTTTAGATTTTATAGAACATAGCGCTCAACAACTTCTATGTGCCAAAATCGATTGATCAGAAAGTTAGGCTCATATTTGTAATGTTATCGGTCCCAAAATTGGGGTAGATGGATAACATAGAGTCATTCATTTTAATTAAGTATTTTGGTCCTTAAAACTTCTCAATCCAATTTACCTTTGTCTTCCTGAAGGGAATCAAGCAAAAGGGTATAGAAGTTGTAATGTCTAAATATTTTATTATTAATTTTTTAAAATAATTTATTTTGATTGATTGCTAATTTATTAAATTTATAATTTTAATGTTTGCATTATGTCAAATTCATTCGTGACATTGTCACTATGGGCAAGATGACTAAGGTCTCTTTAGGACATGTAGCCCGGCAGCCCGAGGTAATCAAGCCTAAAAAACTTAATTGACAGAGTGTTGGTTATTTCTTTTACTATTGTTATCTGATTTAATTCAGTCGGTTAATGATTTATTGAAATTTTGATGATTTATTAATTTTTTTATATTTTAATGCATTTAATGTGGTTTAAAGGGGTAAAAGGGCAATTTGGTCAACCTAAGTTGACTTGGTCAACTAGGGTAGACCAGGGCTTGGGATTTGGTTCAATGCACTCCAAATCATATTCTTGATATGCATGGCTTGGTTTGATTAGGCCATATTGAGGTTTAAGGAAAATTCAGTTTTATTGGGTTTAGGATTTTAGGGTTTTGTGGCCAACCTAGTCAACCAAAGTTCAATGCTGGTTTAATTAAATATCTGGGTATAAAGTTTTCCATTTCAACCCTCCTAATTGTTTCATGATTACTCCATCGAGGCAATAAATCACGCTAAGTTTTAAATTCAAACACATATGAGTGACTTGGTTTACCATACCCAGGTGGTTGTGGGCATAGAATGTCCTTGTATTCTGTAGGTGATACTTTACATACCTCATAAAATATAGCATTAAGTTTAGTTTTAAAAGTAGGTGCTAGCTATTTGGAAGCTGTTGCTAAGGTTTTGAAATTGAATCCTCACCCAAATGAAATTTCTGCTTATGCACTTAACTATCCTTGAAAACAACAAAAGATTTACATTTAAATTTTTTTATTTATATTCGCTCAGTGAAAGATAAGATTAGAGAGATCCACCTTACATGTTTTGGGCACATAAAACATCGGCCTTTCGATGACCCAGTTAGGAAAGTAGATGTATTAGATTTGGCTTATGTTAAGATAGATAGAGGTAGACCTAAAAAGACTTAGATAGAGAATATTAAAAATTTCTTTTCTTTATTATATTTAAACGAGAATTTGACTCTTAACATGACACAATGGAGAAAAAGAATTCATGAAGCTGACCACATGTAGTAGGATAAAGGCTTGATGTTGTTGTTGTTTTTATATTCGCTCACCCTTCGTATTATTTTTTTCCTATAAAAAACTTCCATATGGAATATGCCATTACCGTTATTTGAATTCAAACTTATTTATTCCAACTTCTAACGATTCAGCATAAGGCCTCTCATTTCATCTCATTTAATACGAATACAGTCCCGTTATTATTGTTGGATTGCGACTGCCATTTCTTCATGCACGGCAACCACCAAAACCACACTGTTGATTTTTCCCTTGAGGTTGACTAAAACGAATATTAATCTTTTGTTTCCACCGCTGCAATTTTCAACCATCTTTCTATCATGAATATTGCTACACTACCCAAAACAATCTTCATTGACAAAAAAATTTGATTTTATTTTTTGTTGACCCCCAATCAAAATTTGGTGTCATGCACTTTATCAGGGAATTACTTTTATTTGCTCACTTTATTTGGTGATGATGCAAAATAAATTTTTATTCAGATTTTTTTCTTTTTGAATATAGTATCTTTTCTTTTACTTTCCATCTTGTCATGTCTTGTATGCCCCCTCCAGAATCGTCGTTGTGAGAAATTCTTCAGCTCGTGTTGGCTTATAATACAGCCTATATCTTCGTTTAACATGACTTTTACGCTAAACTATTTATTTTTCTTAGTATTTTTATTCTCCCTTGGTAACGAAGGGGTGTTTAACTTATCAAGTCATAATTTTACTCAAGAACATATGCACAATCATATACTGGAAGTTCCGAGTACCTGTATTAACAATGTAGAGTGAACCACAATATGTTTTTGTAATAAATATTAGTAAATATGCCTAACCCATTGCCTTGTAGATCACAGACTAATTTCAGCAGCATATTTTTTTCGCTAATTATGTTTCTTGTATAAGCTGCAGAGAAGGTGGCTCAAATTGAATGGAGACGATAGTTTTGTTTGAAATGCGTTACTTCACTCGAAGCAAATGGTTCTGATGGATGACATAAATTTCATTTGTTGGTCGTTTGGTTATCATGTAAATCTGTACGTGGTGTAATCAGTAAAAATTTATTAGCAGTTTGTTTGCTGACTTGTGTGGTGTGCCTGATGCTTTTACCAACATTTTCATTTCATTTTATTCTGTAAACTTGTTTTTATGGTCTTTATTTCTTCTAACAAGACAACTGGGATTTGCACCAATTCTGTTTTCTTAGACTTCTGAGACAGTTTCAGCTTAAAGATGGTCATCTTGGGATTAAATACTTGGTAGGTCACATAATATTAGATTTTGTTATGTAATCAATGGACGGGAGGAAAGGGATTATGATGGTATATTCACTTATTTTTTTCATTATCACTCACTTTATAACACTGTCGCTGTCAGATCCCAAGTCCTGGATGAGAAAAGTGGAGGGTTGCGTTAGGTTGTCGATAGTCAGCGTAAAACTTGTCGAATAATCATGATTTTTTACACAATGGTGAAAAATGATTCACGTAGTTGATCCCACATAGTGGGACAAAGGCTTGATATTGTTGTTGTTGTTGTTGTTGTATCACTCACTTTATGTTTCTTGGCTATCTTCTTTCTCTTTTTATTGGATGAGTAACATTCTAATATTCTTAAATCATGCACATCAGATGTATAATGGTGTTATGAGTTGAAACCTAATGTAGAATCAGCCCACTTCGAGGATGTTTATTCATGAAAGTGTCCTCTGATGTCAGTCCAAATGATAAAGGGTCTACGAGAATTTGCATATATACATCTATGCTTAAATTTTTAAAACCTGTCCTGGGTTTTTTTCTAGAGGATTTCTTAACCTTGTCGTCTTAAAAATGGTTTTAAGTAAATTTTATTTGGTTTTGACTCATAAAACCTCGAAAATGAAGTGTTTTTTATGGCGTCATTTAGGCTTCGTTTGGTTATTCGGTACTTTTGTAAAATGTAGTTTTAAGAAATATCGGCTTAGAAAAAGGAATTTTCTAACGGAGAAGCACATAGAAAAAGCTTTTTTAAAATAACAGAAAATGGAAAAAATGGTGTTATTGAGTATGTGATTTGAGGAACTAAATAATAAATTTATGATTTTAAAAAGTAAAAAGCACTAAAAACGTCCAATCAAACTAGGCCTTATAAACTTCTTCCAGGTGTCACGATTATTTAGCAGCGGGTAACATTTTTTTGAGAATTCAGATGGCGATCTTGGCGGTAAGGAGAAGGCGATCTTGACGGAGATGGCGATCTTGGCGGAGAAGGTGATCTTGGTGATTTTGGAGGATCTTTGGCGATTGTTGGTTCTCCATTGGCCTGGTATGGCCGACGGAGTTACTTGGTGGGATTTTAGCGAAGAAGGTGATTTATAAGGAGAGCTTTGTCCGGCAGATGTTATCCTTCGGCCAGGTGGGGCTATTGTTTACTCTTGGTGTGGATTTTCTATTGTGTTAATATCTGATTTGCTTTTGTCTGAAGAAGATTTTGGTGTATTGACCGATTTGAAGTCAATTTCGGCGGAGGTTTTCTTGATGGCGCTTCTCCGTCGGATTGATTTGGCTAATGGTTGTGCTGGTTGTGTTGATTCTATAGGTGTAAGATTCTTTATTGAATTTGGTGAGACTACAAAGCTGAAGGTGTATTGGAGGCATTTACTGTTGCCTATTGAGATATTATCCAGCAAACCTCCTTTCCCTTTGTTTGGAAATGGAAGTTTTTTAGTTTTTTTTTTTTTTCTTTTTTAGATTGTAATAATTTTTTCTTCCATTTTTAATGCAATTTGCATTTCCTAAAAAAAAGAGAATTGAGATGGCGTGTCATGATACAAGTGGTATTCATCGGGTAGTGCTTAGTATACGATCGAACTCTGTATTTCTCCTCGGTTTAGATTGTTTTTGAAAGCTTATTAGCTTGCACTTTTGACCCTGGAGTGTTTTTTGGTCATTATGTATATCTTTGTTCAACCTTGGCTCTACCAAAAAATTCAAAAAGTAAAAAAAAGAAAATATTAATCTGCTTATATGGCCTAAATCTTCTAGCCTGATTTAATTTAAATGGACAACAACCTAGGGATAATAAAATTTTAGGTGACCTAGACATTCCTCATCTTTTGTTTAGTCAGGTTAGGATGTTTTTTTTCACGGGTAATTAATTCTTAGATATTGCACTATAATTGAAATGTTATGATGGCCCACTGTAGAATTAGCAAGGTTCTATAGTCATAATTATTTCTTAAACTCTTTAGTTCAACCTAATTAGGGAATTGAGAGTGTAGAGATTCTAGTTTTTGTAAGCAGCCCTACTCGCCATTTTGCGAATCCAATTTGTATATGTTTTTTTAATGGTTAATATTTCCTTAGATATTAACCAACTGACTTATCATGTACTTTGTTGTGAATAATTACTTCAGTGCAACCTAATTAGGAAAGTAAATTAAGAGATTTTAGATTTTATTGGATGAAATCTTAGCTTATCGTTTTACAATTCTAGCTAAAGCTTGTCTTTTTACAAGCCTAATAAAGATGAGTTTTCCTCACGAGTAAAATTTTTAGATATTGCCTATTAGGTCTCTAAAGGACGAGAATTAGATCTATAACTTTGTATATTATAGGTCAAAGGAATTTATAATAGATGTCAATCTTTATTTTTCATATTCTTAATGCAACTCTAGTACCTAGGTTGTATGCACATTGGGATCCTAGTGTCTCCTTAAACCATTAAATACCTAATTGATCTTAGCTGGGACCTTAAATATCCTCCTATATATTATTAGAAAAATCTCTGCCACTACCTCCTCACTCTCTTTTCCTTGCTCGGGAAGAAAGCGAAGAAGAAAAAGAAGAGAAGGGAGATGAAGAGTGGAGAGAGAGAGAGGAAAGAGGAAGTCCATCAAGGCTTTTTCGTCTGTCGTTCCTTTTAAAAATTGTTTTCTAAGCATTGTAAGTTATTTTTCTCTTACTTCTATTTTTGATGATTTTGATTTCTACATATTTTATCTCTCTTAAATTTGATAAAAATGCATTATCTTGTGATTTTATAAGTTTTCATATTTTTAAATGCACCGGTGTGCTTAGTTGTTGTGAGCGTTACAACACCAAAAACTGTCGCTGTGGCATTTGAGTCTTTGTTCCTATAATATTTTTTATTCTGCATGCTACGTTGCGGCACTAGGTCACTAATAGTATTTTTTTTTCTTATAAATATCTTTGCCACCGCCTCCCTCACTTCTTCACTCTAGTTGCCTTGTATGGGAAGAAATTGAAGAAGATGATGAGAAGGGAGAAGAAGGAGAGAGAGAGAGAGAGAGAGAGAGAGAGAGAGAGAGAGAGAGAGAGGAAAGAGGAAGTCTATCAAGGTCATTTATCCATTATTCTTTTAACAAAAATTATTTTAAGCATTGTAACTATCATCTTACATCTATTTTTGATAAATTTGATTTCTATGAATTGTATCACTCCTAAATCAGATAAAAATATATAAATTTTTTATTTTGTAAGTTTTTATAATGTAACCTTTGATATGTTATAAATTTGATCATTTTAAACAATTTAATATAATTTTATTGTATTTTTATCTGTTAGAAGCATATATGAATATATCTCTTAAATGAGTAGAGAAAGTTTATACTAAAAATGGGTTGGAAGTGATATATTGTGATTTGATATGCTAATACTAAGATGTAATATGTGTTGATATGATTGATATGACTGATATGTACTTAAATGTGATACTGATCTGATTAAAATGATGTACTGTATTGATACTGCTCTTATAAAAAATGATATACTTATTAATATTTGATATATATGATAGGATAATCCCATATGATACCTTTAAGATTCACGTATACATTGATTAAGAGTCATAAGGAGTTAGAGACTGATTGAGAGTTATAAGGAGTCGGGGCAATTGATCCTTGTGATTGAAGGGGAGTTATATGCAGTGCCCTAGTTGAGAGTGATAAAGGGCGACCGATTGGGAGCCATAAGTGTAGGAGAATGATATTTTCATCTACGTATTTTATACTAATTACTAAATACATCTATTGATTATTGATTAATAATTAATGATATATTGATTACTAATACTATTTACTATTATTGAATATGGAGACTTGTACAACTATATAATTGTATAATTGATAGACCGACGGGAATTATTGAATGATATAACTGAATAAAATTGATTGATTGATTGACATAGGTAATTGGTATAGATAAAACATATTGATTCATATATTCTCTTATATGAGTTACAACATACTATTTCTCTTTTGCCTTACATTAATTTCAGTTGTTAGATTTTAATTGTTTTGCTGAGCTTTTATGCTCATTATATGAATTTTACATGTTTACAGAAAAGTAAGAACCCTATGGCTTGAGGCACTGAATAACATTCATAGTTTTCTTTTTTGCACTGCTAGTTTAGTTTTATTTCAATTCATCAAATTTACGTATATTGTTTTGTAGCCTATGAAGACTATTGTTTATATTATTATAGGACTCTGGATTTAAAATATAAATTGAGTATAACAATGTGAGTTATATTTTTTGATGTTTATATTCTTGTAATGCAATTAATCAGCCTTGGATATTAAATTAATCTGGTTATAAATGACCATTAGATGGTATTCAGAATTAAGAAAGAAATAAAGGAATGAAAAGTGAAATAAAAATATATTCTTCCCCTTTAGATCTCAGGGCATGACAAAGTGGTATCAAAGGAATGGTAGTAGAAGAATTTACTTGTAATCAATGTTGTATTAATGATTATAGTATTTAAATGTGTTTATATATTTTTTTAAATAATTTGTTTTGTATTTATGTTTTGAAATATTCATTTTGAATTTAAGATTTTTATATTGATAAAGCAATTGGACCCAACAGGAAAAGTAAATAAATCTTAACCCGACACTAAAGTATATTTAGTGACTTCGAGGAATATGAAGAGGTTTGCCGATATGATTACTCAGATGGTGATTGATAGATTAATGAGACAATTTGGTTAAAGCTATAGGAAATTATGTTAAAGTAGTAAGAAAATGATATGCATGATTGTTAAAGTACCTACCACTCTGTAATATATTTGGTATGGAAGGAGACATGTGGGACCCTACTATAAGGCAATAAGACAATATTTTAGATATGGTGATTATGGATACCAAATAACATAATGTCCATTGCCTAGACATGGACAAAAATATGCACATAATGAACGTATATAGTTGGAACTAGTGAAAGGGGGTCCACAAGTGTGTGAGGATACAACT